ATGTAAGACTAAGAGTATATCAAATCCTTAATTTGGACCTATATCATTGTATCATTTTTTAAATTTTGCATATGAACAATCTCAGGCAAAAGTACATTTGATATTTTCATTTCATTTCAAAGAGGCAATAACCTCCTTTAAGGATGTACTTAGGTGAAATTAAACAAGAATGTGTCCATAGTATCTGGATGCCCCACTCGCATATCATTTTCTATGTTCAGTGGACCGTGAAATGGGCATCCAAACTCTAATTTGGCATTAAAATTAGAAAGATCATATCATAGGGAACATGTGTATTAAGTTTCAAGTTGATTGGACTTCAACTTCATCAAAAACTACCGTGACCAAAAACTTTAACCTGAAGCAGGACAGACGGACAAAAGAATGAACCTTTTATGAGCTAATGAAGTCTTATGTGAAAAAAAAATGGGTGTTATGGGGCAAAATATTTTACCCTGTATTGGAGGAAAACAAGAGTGCACACACTGAAATGTCTCGCCTACTATACTGACCATTGATTTTATGTTGATAGTCCTACATATAAAGTTTTACTACAAGTATCACATTAACATTTATGATCCAAGAAAATGAGGTCAAGGTCAGATAAACAAAGCCGGAAATACATGTATAAATGTACACCTTTAATACAATCATTCCATACACAGAATATAGATGACCTATTGCTTATAGTATAAAAGAAACAGACCAAACCATGGAAATTCTATGCTGACCAATGAACCATGAAAATGAAGTCAAGGTCAGATGAACCCTGCCAGACAAACATGTACACCTTAAAATCATTCCATGCATCAAATATAGTTGACCTATTGCTTAAAGTATCTAAGAAACAAAGTTAACCAGGAAAACTGAACAATGACCAATGAACCATGAAAATGAGGTCAAGGTCAGATGATATCTACCAGACAGACATATACACCTTACAATCCTTCCATACATTAAATATAGTTGATTTATTGCTTATAGTTGAAGAATAACAGACCAAAACACAAAAACTTAACACTGAGAAATGAACCGTGAAAATGAGGTCAAGGTCAAATAAAACCTATGAGACTGACATGTACATCATAAAATATTTCCATACACCATTTATAGTTGACCTATTGCATATAGTATTAGAAAAAAAGACCAAAACTCAAAAACTTAACTTTGACCACTGAACCATGAAAATGAGGTCAAGGTCAGATGACACCTACCAGTTGGACATGTACACCTAATTACAATCATTCCATATACCAAATATAGTAGACCTACTGCTTATAGTATCTGATATATGGACTTGACCATGAAAACTTAACCTTGTTCACTGATCCATGAAATGAGATCGAGGTCAAATGAAAATTTTCTGACGGGCATGAGGACCTTGCAAGGTACGCACATACTAAATATAGTCATCCTATTACTCATAATAAGAAAGAAAATAACATTACAAAAAATGTTGACTTTTTTTTCAAGTAGTCACTGAACCATGCAAATGAGGTCAAGGACAATGGACATATGACAGATGGAAACTTCGTTACATAAGGCATCTACATACAAAATATGAAGCATCCAGGTCTTCTAGCTTCTAAAATATAAAGCTTTTAAGAAGTTAGGTAACGCTGTTGCCGCCGTAGCCGCCGCCCAGCCACCGGATCACTATCCCTATGTCGAGCTTTCTGCGACAAAAGTCGCAGGCTTGACAAAAACTAAACTATGACCACTGAACCATGAAAATGAGGTCAAGGTCAGATGACACCTGCCAGTTTGACATGTACACCTTACAATCATTACATACACCAAATATAGTAGACCTATTGCTTATAATATCCGAGATATGGACTTGACCACGAAAACTTAACCTTGTTCACTGATCCATGAAATGAGGTCGAGGTCAAGTGAAAACTGTCTGACAGGCATGAGGACCTTGCAAGGTACACACATATCAAATATAGTTATCCTATTTTTCATAATTAGAGAGAAATTAACATGATTAAAAATGTTCACTTTTTTTTCAAGAAGTCACTGAACCATGAAAATGAGGTCAAGGACAATGGGCATATGACAGACAGAAACATCATATCATAAGGCATCTATATACAAAGTATGAAGAATCCAGGTCTTCTACCTTCTGATATATTAAGCTTTTAAGAAGTTAGTTAATGCCGCCGCTGCCACCGGATCACTATCCCTATATCGAGCTTTCTGCGACAAAAGTCGCAGGCTCAACAAAAACCAAAGAGTCCAAACATCTGACACAAGTTCTTAAACCTCACCTAAGTACATCCTTTAAAACAAAAAAAAACATTTAACCTGCCATTCTTGGGCCGAGGACATAATAATTCTGCGGTCATAACCAGGGGTTCAAATTAACATTTGGTACTGGAAGGTCCAGGACCTTTGACACTCCAAACTGAAAGGTCCACAACCTAAATCCCAGGTCCTACTTTTACATGAAATATTTCATAACTCAATAAGATACAAAATTAATGTGCTTTTGGAGTAAAGTTAATTTGTTTCATCATATTTGAATTGCATGCGATGTTTCGTTTCTCATATAATGGGCTATCCAGCGAATAAACAGTTTATAACCTTCAATATTGAAGTACTGCTTACACATCAACACCATTTTTGCACTGGATTTCAAGAATAAATTCATCCTCACTGAAGGTTTCCCTTTTTTGCAATACTGTATGCAGTGGTGAAAAGAACCTTATATCTATTTAACTGATCAGGCTTACATTGCTGCTTGAGAATACATTGTCCAAGTTTAGTGTCTGACAATTAATCTTTAGACTTAAAATTTAGGTCACTTTCATGGATCCACTGCTTTAAACAAGATAAATACTTGGGTGTCACTTCGTATATTTTTATTGGGTCTATTTTAAGATTTTGTGTTCCCCTTACAAGTGCACTTTCTTTTTCTGAATGGGTGGGGAACTTCTGGCAATATGTGCATGACATTAGACCAGTTGATTCATCAAAATATAGCCACGGTTCGATCGATTTTCCAGTGGGACTTAAATGTCTGTTCCCGTTTTTCACGATCACATTTTTGGTCTTTAGTGAGATATTTTGAAGACGTTGAAGACACAGGCACTTGTTTCTATCCATGGGAAGGTTGAATATCCTTCTATATTTATGGATAGTCGACATTCCCATGGATAGAAACAAGTGCCTGTGGTTGAAGACCGTTCATAATCTCCAGGCTTTCTCTTGGAAGACGTGACACCAAAGTGAAACAGACTCAGTTTGTTCGAAAATGTCTAAATGATTTGTCATGTGACTTCTTGCAACTATATATAACCTTGTGTTTCCAAGAAATACAAGTTTAAAAATAACTTGTATCACTCTTCGGCAAGGTCAGGGATGAAACATTTTTTTATCTCAATTTCAATAATAATATGGCTGAAAAATGACGATACAGATGGTTACAAAGGTCAGCAAAGATCATTTTTATTTCCTTTTAAATCGAAGGTCCGTCGGGCGTAGCTAGTAACCAAAACGAAAGTCTGATTGCAACAGTGGAAGGTCATGGACCTCAGACCACCGCTAATTTAAACCCCTGATAACTTTTGAAAGTCAAATAAAAAGACAAATAGAATATATGCAGGTGTCTACTTTTTTTATTTTTTAACTATTTCATCAATTCAGCTGTAATTGCTTGGTGTTGTTGATTTTATTATATTGAGTGTCCCACAATAACTTCAAAACAAGAGTGCACATGCTGAAATGTCTCACCTTCTTTCTTTCTACCACTGATATTATGTTGATAGTCCTAAATATAAAGCTTTACTACAACTATCACATCAATTGAACATGATCCAAGAAAATGAGGTCAAGGTCAGATAAACCAAACTGGAAATACATGTACACCTTACAATCATTCAATATAGTTGACCTATTGCACATCGAAGAAACAAACTTAACCATGAAAACTTAACATTGATCAAATGAACATGAAAATGAGGCCAAGGTCAGATAAACCCTGCCAGACAGACATGTACACCTTACAATCTTTACATGCTTTAAATATAGTTGACCTTTTGCATATAGTATCTAAGAAACAAACTAAACCAGGAAAACTTAAGATTAACCAATGAACCATGAAAATGAGGTCAAGGTCAGATGATAATTGCCAGACAGACATATACACCTTACAATCATTCCATACACCAAATATAGTTGACCTATTGTTAATAGTATAAGAAAAACAAGACCAAAAAACCAAAAATTAACATTGAGCAATGAACAGTAAAAATGAGGTCAAGGTCAAATAAAACATGCCAGACTGACATGTACATCATAAAATATTTTCATACACCAAATAAAGTTGACCTATTGCATACAGTATTACAACAACAGACCAAAACACAAAAACTTAACTATAACCACTGAACCATGAAAATGAGGTCAAGGTCAATGACACCTGCCAGTTGGACATGTACACCTTACAATCATTCCATACACCAAATATAGTAGACCTATTGCTTATAGTATCTGAGATATGGTCTTAACCACGAAAACTTAACCTTGTTCACTGATCCATGAATTGAGGTTGAGGTCAAGTGAAAACTGTCTGACAGGCATGAGGACCTTGGAAGGTACGCACATACCAAATATAGTTATCCTATCACTCATAATAAGATACAAATTAAGAATACTAAAAATGTTAACTTTTTTTTCAAGTAGTCACTGAACCATGAAGATGGGGTCAAGGATTATTCTCTGGTTTCTAAATTTATGCTCTGCCCAATGATTTAAAAGTGTACTCAACCAAGACAGCTAATAGACAGAGGTTATAATATATACAAGGTCAAAATTAGCTTAGGTACACATGAAACTTACCAATTTTAAGGTCCAAATAGTTTTCAATAACAACACCAAAGGATGCACCTAAAGCTGTTGTTCCAACTTTCATTTGCCAGTCCACACTAGGTGCTGCTAGTCTGAATTCTAATCCTTCCCAGAATCCTCTCTTAATTCTATGGTGACCTTGAACTTCAACTATATTTGACAAATAGGGATCAGTAATGCTGCTATTATCTAGACGCCTGCAAAAAACATGCATTTTTATTATATGTGATGAATAGTGAACAGAACAATATTTATGACCTATCAATCTATCGCCTACAGCTCAGAAGGTTCATCTTGTTCATAGTGTGCCACTATTTCTTAGACAGGTCATATACTGAATATATGAGGATTTGAAAAATAATTCAATGTAAATATTTGTACTTTTTGAAGCCTGTCAAGAGTGCTATTCAAACGATAGGTTTGTTTGCATTCAAATAGGGCAAAGTTTAAAACAAATTCATGTTTATTGTCCAATTCTCTGATCTGGTAAATCCTTTGTTTTATTTAGTTTATACTTTTGACTTATAAAATAAGATGTCACTGTAATAAATATAGATTCTTACATTGGTACCAGTGGATTATCAGATTTATCCAATCGAGATAGTTAAATTATCTAATTTTAAAGTCCGAGCCTCGGAGTCTCCACTTGTACCTCATGATATAAGAAGGTGTATACCACTTTATGGAAACTTGCAAAAAAGTATAAATTGTTCTTTAATGTCTGTGGATACTTAATCCCTGTATACACATCTTATAAGGATAATGGGGTGAATAACGTCCCAAACAAAAACTTTCTCTTTTTTTGAATATGAATTTAAAAATACAATGTATAGTACTTTTTTAAGGAATATGGACATGTATAATAACAATAACTCTGCAATACCTTTTATTAAGGGGGGAAATCATTTTGGATTTTGGATGTGCTTGATACAGCAACAATGCTGCATGTCGAACATTTTCATCTTCATCATATAAAGCTGCTTTAAGCATGGTATCAGTAACCTGTTGAAACAAATAAAAATAAAAATATCCAATGAGTCTGTATTGGTCATCAAATACCATTTGCTATCACTGGTACAAGTAATAATTCTACTAAAATTCTTCTATAATATCAAATGAGTTTGGCAAATTTATCTTAATGTTGCATTTCTATTGTACAACTGGTTACCAATCACTAAGTAGTTGTAGTCATGTAAATGGTCATATTGTTGGTAATTTAAAAAAAAACATTTTTTTTCAAATAACATTCATTGAGGATATTTTGCAAAATGTGGATAATATTTTCATAAGAAGGATTGTGTAGAAGTTTAAAAATCATAGTTCTGTAATGACAGACATATATTCATATAATGTATTCTACCATTTAATTTTTATTTAATTATTTTACTATGTCATGGCAACCAAATTATAATACCTATGTATCGTATTCTGCAATATTTTTCACATAAAAGATAATAGCAAAAAAAGTTCCAAAATGAGTATTCAATACTTCTAAAATTTAAAAAATATCATGCCAAGGCATATTTGGAAGTTCTTGTAGAAACATAACATTGTTTGTATTTTAATAAATAAGAATAAATGCATTTTTGCTGCACAATCATCAGTGGATCGCGAAATTCGTTAATGGTTACTGATTTGTAAAAAGCCATGTGATAGTAATGTTAACATTAAATCATGTACTGTTAGTAAAATAAGCAAATTTTATGGGAAAAGCTCTGCATAAAATTGCTTAAATATTCTCAATATCGATCCTGATATTATAAAGCTTGACCAATGTTGTAACATTCCCAGATTTACCATCTCATGTTCATATTTTCTAAGAGCATGAAGTCCAGCTCGTTTAATCCATGGAGAATTTGTTGCATTGACATGAGAAACAATATATTCATAGGAAGAGTCCATTCCAGCATTGCCCAGTGTTTCCAGAAGAACAACCTTCCACTGGTCATGCACATCCTGTTGTTTTCTTGTCTGTGTAGCACGTTTTACTTTGTAGCTATAAGGATCTAGAAAAAACAATAAGCAAAAGTGTTGAAATTCATAAAAAGAACAAGAAGTGAAATTGTAGTTAAATTATTGTTGAAATGGTCATAAATATCTGATTTAAAAAAAAAAAGACAATTCTTTGTCTGTTATGTTAGCTAATGTAGCATTACAAAATTAAAACTGTCGGACATCATTCTGGAACAAAGTTCATTAATCATTACAATATTTTGACAGTTAAGTGCCATAATATGAACTGTTTTTAAGATCAAATTTTCCATCTCATCAGTATCAAAAGGACCTAATACTCCAGCAATGTATGGTTTGGTGTGGCTAAAAATAAGGAAAATATACTAACTACAATCACAAAGAACCTCTGCCAGAGAAAATATTTTATTGACGATACTACATACTTTATTTCTGAAACTATGATTCAATAGACTATCTTCATATTACCGACTTTTGACTCTGGATTATATAATTTGTCGACTGGTTACCTTGGACATCATGGTACTCGGTCAAGTAAGAACAACCAAAATAAGTAAAATCAAACATATAATCGGTGAAATTTGAGGGGAAAGTTTACTGTTTTCTGATGATTTTGTAGTGAAAAAAAAATATTAACCAGGTAATTTTCCCCCAAAATTGTACCGATTGAAAGCTTGGTTTTACTTCTTTAGCTTGCTCTTACCTGACTTGGTACCATGATGTCCAAGGTAACCAGTCGACAAATTATATAATCCGGAGTCAAAAGTCGGTAATATGAAAATAGTCTATTTGAACAAGTATAATAAAAACAAAAAAAAATTTAGCCTTGCAATTTCAAAATTGGCCCATCATAAAACATTTCTGCCAAAGTTTGATGGACAAATTGAAAACTCTCTTAATCTTATTTATCCTGCAATCAGCTAACTATTGTACAAATAACAGGTACACAAATAAATTTTTGCTTTATTTGTACTACGCATTTAAACTATGTCGATTTCTTTGAAAAATTTGAAACAATGATTTAGATTTTAACAACTAAAGTTTCAAGTGTTGGGTGTAAATTTCAGGATAAAAACAATATATGTACATTGTCGGAAAATATAAAATTAAATTGTACTCGCTACGAAACAGGATAAAAGCTCGGCGAGCCTTGCTTTTCGTCCTGTTTCTAAAGCTCATACAAATAAATTTTATATTTTCCGACAATGTACATATATTGTATATATATATATGTTCTTCATCTTCCAAAATGACAAGTACAACATATAACACACGATAGACACAAAATTCCTAGTAATAGAAAAATGTAAGACCTAAGGGACAGAAAAAACTGTACCTTGGTATTTTCCACTTTTCTTTTTTGAATAATGATATAGTTTTGAAGTATTAATAGATTACCATGATATCCTAATTTCTGGTGGACATTTTCTGTAATTTCTGATGCCATTTTCAGATCTCCAGCTTTTGTCAACTGACTAGTTATGGCACCAAGAATAAGAAATGATTTTTGGTATAGCTCTTCAGTATATAATGACTTTGGAAATGTATTCCTGTTGAAACACAGATCCTTGATGGCAGATAAAATACTCTAAATGGAAAATAAAAAGAAATCATTAGTTTATGTATACAAAACAATTTTGTCAGGTCTGTATAGAAATATCATCTTCAAAAATATCTTGTCCAGTTTTGGCTATACTTTAGGTCTTTTTGGTTGATCAGCTATTCAACCTTTCTATCAGGTTTTGGATTTTCAAATATTTTGGCCTCAAGCATCACTGAATGGACATTAATTGTTGAAATGCACATCTGGTGCAGTGAAATTGGTACTGTTTATATTATTCAATGGTTCATAAAAATGGCCTTGTTCTTTTTTTTATTGAAATACACCCAATTAGATTTGAATGCATTTTTCATGTTTTGTGTAAACATTCTTCCTTGAAACTTTAATTAAAAAGTAATTAATCTCTAATCGCAAAACACAAACAAATTCTCTTAAACCTGAAACTTTTAAACATCTAAAAGCTAAGGGAAGACAAACTGAAGCATATAGACCTGAAATCCTGCATGCATATATGATCCAGACAGGCCTTCAAAAATATTGTAATTCTGACGCAAGGTTTATTTATTTGCATGTATATCTAAAAAGTACAATCTGTTTTTGCATATATCTGGAGATTCTTGAATTAATAAAATCTTGTCAGATGTAAAAAAAAAACCAACAACAACCTCAAACTCAAATCATTTACTTGGTCTACAGAAATTTTTTTTCAAATGGGACTCTTCATCTGTTCATGTTGCAAATTGAAATTATCCATTCAAAAAATCAACTGGTGAAAAAATTTCAACCTATTGCAACATCCTAGTGGGGGAGTATTAGACCTCACTCCTAGAGGGGGAGTATTAGACCTCACTCCTAGTGGGGGAGTATTAGACCTCACTCCTAGAGGGGGAGTATTAGACCTCACTCCTAGAGGGGGAGTATTAGACCTCATTTATAGAGGGGGTATTAGACCTCACTCCTAGAGGGGGAGCATTAGAACTCACTCTTAAGAGGAGGAGTATTAGACCCTGCTCCTAGAAGTGGAGTATAAGAGCTTGCTCCTAGAGGGGGAGTATGAGACCACCACTCCTAGAGGGGGAGTATTAGACATCGCTCCTAGAGGGGGAGTATTATACCTCATTCCTAGAGGGGGAGTATTAGACCTCATTCCTAGAGGGGGAGTATTATACCTCACTCCTAGAGGGGGAGTATTAGACCTCACTCTTAGAGGAGGTTGTGTTAGACCTCACTTCTAGAGGGGGAGTATTACACCTTGGTCCTAGAAGGGGGTATGACACCTCACTCCTAGAGGGGGTGTATTAGACCTCTCTCCAAGATGGGGAGTATTAGACCTCGCTCCTAGAGGGGAGTATTAGACCTCGCTTCTAGAGGAGGAGTATTAGACCTCGCTACTAGAGGGGGAGTATTAGACCTTGCTCCTAGAGGGGGAGTATTAGACCTCATTCCTAGAGGGGGAGTATAAGACCTCACTTCTAGAGGGGGGCTATTAGACCTCACTCCTAGAGGGGGAGTATTAAAGTTCTGCAATGGAAAATCAATTGTTATAAGAAAACAGATAATATGGTTAAAAACATAACATAAAAAGAATGAAAAAACTTAAAAACTTAAATTGAGGTTTGGAAAAATATGTTTATCTACCTGATGAGGTGGTTTTCCGATGGTAGGTATATGTGACAACAATCTCATAACAAATACAGGTTTTGGTTCTTTAGAGTAAACGATGAATTTGGCTAACAATATCTGGCTTAGATTTGTAGACAGACTGGCAAAGGCATCTATCATAATCTTTGTTTCCTCTTGATTTCTTAAATGAAAAAATAAAACATTATTTTTTGTATTAAATATTTTTGTCCAAAAAAAATAAAATGTTCTTCTTTTAAACATGTTAAATGGATGGTTACAAGTAGAATTGATTCATAAACAGAAAAAAACTATGATCAACTCTTCATATAGTAATATCAATTAGGAATATTTAGTTCTGAAATACGAATGGAAATTGGCCTAAATCAAAATAACAGTTTAGTATGGTGGACTTCATATGCTGAAACAGAATAACACCAAGTAAAAATCTCTCTGGCAGTCTCAAGGGAGTTTTGTTCACAAGGAATCATAGTGTTACGAAAGTTAAAAAAAAATGTGAAAGTCTCATAACTCTTTCAAAGATTGTTAAAGCATCACGATGGTAGAGATTATGACAAATTATCCAACAAAGTAACAAAGTTAATGTCAAAAGGTCTCTTGAATATGACTGTGGATTCATTTGCTTGAATAGTAATTTTTTGAAACTGCTTTGGGAAATTTCCCTTACAATCTTCCTATTCTTTTGTTAAACAAAATAAAGTTTAATAAAAAGTATAGCTCTATTCTTATTCTAAGTGCAGTATACAAAAATTTACCAAGACTTTAGTTGATTTTATATACCAGTTCAAATTTGACGGTCTTTCAAAAGTGGCTAAAATAATTAACTATTTGATAATAAACATCTAATCTTCATCAAATTCTTAAATTTTATGGCTTGACTAATAAATTTAAAACTTACATAGATCTTGAAGGGATAAAGTATTCTTTTGCCAGTTCCTTTTGATCACTATCAGGCAATAATGCTAAAGCTTCTAACATACTTTGGAAACATGGAGCTACCTTGGGAGATCCTGCAAATTGAAATCAATTTCATATTTAGATTCTTTTATAGCATGCACCTGAAAACAACATGGCTTAAAGTTTTTAAAAACTTTTAACAGTCAAATTAGTTTTATAGACAAACATCATTGTAATTTTTAGATGAGACCTCATGGTTTCAGACTAGTGTTTTGTCATCCTGTTTTGACACAAAAAAAACTGGTTACAATTACCTTTATCAAGTGGACAGTCTCAATGACAAACTGGTTAACGGTATTTCAGGCAATCACACTTTGGCAATGAATTTTAATGTGTGATGTATTTTTTTACAATTGATTTCCATGTTCCTTTAAAAACTGAACTAAAATTTAGCTGGTGTAAATGGGGCTAACATGTCCATATAGGAGCACTGTAAAAAAAAATTATTATCAGAACACCAATGTTAATGTGCTATTGATCCCTGAACTAGTAAAGTAGTTTTATGTTAACACATAATCCAAATGTATTTAAATATTGATAAGGTAATCTCTGTTCAAGTAAAATGTTGAATCTGCTTGCATCTAAAATCCAAGGAAGCAGTATACCATAGATTCCATTGAAAGTAACTTCTTCAGATGTGTTCCTGATAACAAAGCTTCATACTTCAAATCTATAAAAGCTCTTAAAGTCAGTAAAGCATGTCTATGGGGACAAAACATTGTAATGCTTGTAACTATAATACAACAATACTAATGCAGCAGCAAACCATTTATCAATAGTACAACTTTAGTTCTTCTCAATAAACAAACTTTGAATGCTGTATGCAGGTGACCTGTAGGCATGTGACCTGTAGTTGCTTACATCTACATTGCTTGGTTTCTGATTGAAAGTTTTCTCATTGGGAATCATATGACATCTTCTTATTATCATACTAATAAGAAAATATAGAATTACAGAACAATGTAATAAATTCAAAATCCATTGAACATAGCCATTTATTCATATTGAAACAACCATATACTAGATCTACGTCAATGGATTATTCATAGTACTTAATTTGATAATGCGAAAAAAAACACAAATTTGGGAGTGTAAAATCATGCTAACAATTTATCAAACTACAAAGATTTATACTAGGATAAATAAGGAATAATTGTCTATGAAGAGATGCTAAGATTGAAAAGAGATGGAGGATTGATTGGTGTTTAACACCACTTTCAACACTATTGTGCTATTTCGTGGCAGTCAGTTTTTATTGGTGGAAGAAGCCGAAGTACCCAGAGAGAACCACCGACCTTTGGTAGGAAAACTGACAATCCTAGTCCATTAAGATTGGAGTCCAGTGCAGAGATTGAGGAACGAAGGGTTAACTAATATACAACCATTTCTGTTATTGCAATTGTAATGTGTACATACAAACCTTTTTCTGGTTCAGTTATAATACAGATTAAATTGCTTTTAATTGTGCCTTTCAGTTTGGCAAGTTTTTGGGCGTTGTACTCCTTTCTCTGGTACTGAAAAAAATATCAGATTCAAACAAACATTGAAAACTATTGTAAGAAATGCACAGAAATCACAGACATACCTCACAAATAGACAACTTTTAAATCCATGGACTTTCCCATACAATTTCTAAGTCACAATGCTTATTTTATTACATCACAGTAAGAACTGACTGTTCAATGATGTTATACACGTCCATTGACCTCGGGTCAACCAGTGTAACTAATTCATAAACTAGATATGGACAATGCCCCCCTTTTCTGCTCTGCCATATGCATGAGTATAGTTCCACATATTTTAAATTTGACAAACAGTGATGTTGGCATACAACTTGAAATTGTTACGCTGTCTGTAAGACACAAATGATGCCCCTGTCTGACCATAGGAACTTATTAATTTAACACTATGTATGATGACCTATGTTTTATTCTTATGCTATAGGCTACACTTGCAGGACTGAATGTCTAGCCAAAAGGTTTCAACTTTCAAGAATACTGTCGGCTACAAGTTTTTCTTAAATATACTCACTGAATTACTGACGAACAATAGCAAGAATTTTATGGTCTGAGAAATAAGTAGGAAATACATCAACTTTGAAAAAAAAATCAAAATCCTGTGGCCACGCACACCTCCATTATGTGTTTGAACATCCTACAAAATATTAAAGCTGTATCTTCAAAACTGTAGGAAGAGATAGCCGGACAAACCATGATCTCTTTATGCAGCTTGTACCCAAAAAATGACTAAGTCCAACTACCTGTCATTTTCAGAATATTTAAAAAAAAATCAAAATCCTGTGGCCATGCACACCTTCATTATGTGTATGAATATCATGATCTTTATGCAGCTAGTACCAAAAAAAATGACTAAGTCCAACTACCTGTCATTTTCAGAATATTTTAAAAAAAAATCAAAATCCTGTGGCCATGCACACCTTCATTATGAATATCATACAAAATATTAAAGTTGTACCTCCAAAACTGTATGAGGAGATTGCCGGACAAACAATGTATCCTAATCCGGACGGACGGACGGGCGGACAGACCGACTAAGGAACGGAACAGACAGATGGACAGGGGTAATTAATATGCCCCTTGACATTTTGTCGTGGGGGCATAAAAACAAATCTACATTAGTTTATGCATATCTGGAATGAGAAAATGGGAGTTTTCATAATTATTTCCATACTCTGGAACCCTCTCCTTTCATTCAGGGAATTATTCTTATATCATTTTAACCACTGCATTTCTATAAAAAGCTCATTCCAAAAAGACAAGGAAACAATAAGGAAAAAAATATGGCTACATTTTCTAAGACAAGTGTGAAACATGATACTGTTGTTATTAAAAATCTAAAGAAACAAAGGATATGTGTGGTAAAGTCCCTTTTCGACCACCAAATTAACTATTAGAAACAATCTCATCCACACAACTAAATACAAATATTATCAATGTGTAAAAATGTCATCTAAACATTTAAATACTTACATTACCAATGTGTATACTATCGATTACAATGTCATCTTTAGGTCTGTAGGATTTTTCCTTGATTTTTTCTTTTTTCCAAAATTGTAATTCTCCTTTGTTGGTAGCTGTTATTTTTGGATTTTCTGTAAATATGTGAAAATGGCATCTTAACAATGTGCTAGGGTGGATCATATCTAATTTTAAATCATCGCGTGACATTTGATTATACAGAGGAATAGGCATGATAGGTAATAGTTTCTTCTAAATTAGTAAACTGTTCAGTTTTTTTCCAAAATGATAATACATATGATAAATCTATCCAATTTAAGGGCCCTAAGTGAATCATTTTCTTTTCAATTGTTTAAATTAAATAAAAAGAAAACAAGTAAACTCCAACAAAACATTTACGTTTTATCATTAATACACCATACATGCTCCATCCTTTTCATTGAGTGTTTCAGTATTCATCAAAGGAAACAGACAATTTGCCATGGTTGGACATATGCATTAATATATGCTTTTGAACCGGGATATAAAAATCAAGAAGTACTAAAGGTCAAATTTTTTAGATATCTAGACTTTTTCACTGATCAGGTGAACTTGATTTTTACAGTACATGTACCATAAAAAAAGAGGTACAAAATGTACTAAGCATAAATTTCTAAATATATGTGTAGGACTCGGAGGTGCAATGGGGATGCTGAAGTGTGATGGTCACGCTGAAGTGCGATGGTCTACGCCGAAGTGTGATAGTTTGTTCGCTGATGTGCGTAGGTCTATTTGACGCATGATGACTATTTTAAAATCTACAGATGTTCAATTATTATGGAAAGTACATGTAGGTTTGTTTTATAGTTAGTACTTCATTTACATTCATTATTGTCTACGTCTGTTCTTAATTACAGTGGCATACTAAATGAGAGATCTTCCTTTTTTGATTTTCTACATGTAGACATAATTCTGCATTAACATTTTATCTTTACTTTGTTGCTCTCATGAGTACCTTGTTTACCGCAATATTATAATACGGAGAGTCTATCTGCGGACCCGTGTGTATTTAGAGAATGTCACGCTCCATCGTACTTAAAATTGTAGATTTCGAAAAAATTTCGCTACAGAAGGTTAAAATTTCCCCTATCCACCAATCCTCCCCGTTTCTCGTAGTATTTTAAGTTTATAAGCCCCCATTAACTTAAAAACCTGGAAAACTGCTTCTAACATACACATTGACTTCTACATCGACATGAATAGCATTGAAAATGTAGTTTTTGTCGACCATTGCACTTCAGCGTTACCACCCTCACACTTAGGCGTAGCTATCAACAAGATAGTGTCACAATGCCACAATCACACTTCAGAGTGATCAAAAACACACTTCAGCATCAAACCATCGCGGTTCAGAGTCCTACATATGTTTTTAAGATTATTTCACCATTTCAAATTCTAATGCATTTTATGTAATATTTTATAAAGTATACTAAAATGTTGATTGGGTAACAACATCCTTAAAATGAATAGCTAACCAATAGAGTAATACAATTCTAATTTGATGTTCACACTATGAAAGTACCTTTCAATTCTAGAACTGAACCAATAACAAAATTTTACAAAGTAAAGTGTATACAAGCTGTTCTTTAAAGCAAAATTTCTTACCCATATTACTGAAGTCATTAACTGCTTTGACCTTCCTCATGCCTTTTTCTGCATCAAAACTGAAAATAAATATAATATGAATTTGCAAAAATATGAAATCCCTAAATTATAAAACAAACATATTCTATTTTCTATAGATAATAACTTCATGGGTGACAAATATTTAACGGATATAAAATTTCAGAATTCTATGCTTTTTCTTTCTTTTTTCATGTATTTTTTCTAAATATCTGAATAAAATATACTTGATCTTACATTTTGAACAATGTTTTCTTCATTACTTCAGTATTGTCTTTTGATCATAAAAACAGCTTTTGTCTAATGTTCATACAATTTCATGAAGGTTTGACAAAGTTATTTATGTTTAAAAAAAATTTAACCCTCAAGACTATATTTGATTGCATTGTTATGTCTTGTTTCTGTGACAAAATGTTTCCGGCTCGACAAATATCATGATTCATGTAAGATTTGGATGCAGTTTTTCCATTGCCTTCTACTGAAAATATCTAACCTGGTTACTGATTTGTTGTATGCTTGTACCACTTACCATGCAAAAGATATTAAGAAGATTGCCAGCATAGTACCATGTGTAGGATATAAATTCCTATTTATATACACCTGTTCTACTTTCTCTTCTTGGCATTTTTCAATTGTAAACATTGCTACTAGCATTATTCTTTTTATCAGAATTTTGAAATTCCAGTTAGTAAATAATGGAACACTTTTCCAGATATTGTTGGACTTACTAGTCTTTAGCCTGCATCTGGCTAAAATGGTTGTTTATGGGAAAATTGTTGTCATATTTCCTTAAATAGAATCTAAAGTTCCTTTACTAACTTACTCAGATGCTATCTGAGGAGATGTAAATTCTTCTTCAACCACAACTCTTTTAATTGTTCCAAGATCATGATCAAAATGCAAAACCTAAATTCATAATGAAAGAATAGTCTAACTTAAAATACTAACAAGCACTTTAGTTTGCATGCAGTTGTTCTTTCTATTTAATGTATGCATGTTCTAAATTCTCACTTGAAACAACACTTGCAAATGTCTACATTTATTATCTTAACAGGTATTGTGTTTTGAAAATGTGCTGTTTGCATGATTTGAGTATATTATTGTATTGTAGACTATTTGAAAAACTCATTAAAGCATGTATACTGTAGCAGTTTATTGAATACCAACATTGAACTATGTAATTGAATTAAATTGAAAGAACCTTCATGAGTAAGCTGACATACAATGTAGCCCTCCAACCCACTACAATGAATGTTGAAGCCTCCATTTTTTATTGAATCATACTCATCTACATTACATAACAGTTTTACAAATTTCTGAAGCAGAAAACACAAATATACATTGACATTCAAACATTTGCACCAGGAACATACTTAAGACCTCCAATTAATTCATTAAGATTAAGTGTCACAGAATATCGTTCTAAGTTTTGGGGTAAAGACTTGTAGTACAATCTGCAGTGGCAACTGTACATGTTCATTTACAATTTTCATATTTTAAATACACTTTTTGATTGGTTGCAGCCAGTTACAACTGTGATTAATGGAAAAAATGTCTTTACTTACTTTACATGCCAAAGCTAAAATGGAGGAGACTGGATCAAAATCCTTGGCTAGCAAAGATGCATTACAATGGCTGTGCCCATATTACTCAATTGTTTATTGTAACCTATAATTACCTACTAAATTCATAACTCAAATATAATTTGGTTATTTCTTAAATAAATTCAGTAATAAGAGGGTTTCCCTTTTCTCCAACACTTATACGCTGTGTTAAATAACACTTTGTACCTTTTTAATTGTTTTGGTTTCAATTGCTGCTTAAGAACACACTTGCTTAACTTTGTGTCAGATAACAGTTACATCAAATTCGTTTTCAAACTTGGGGTCAGTTTCTTTTAACCACTTTTTTAGCAAGATATATAGATGCTGGGTGGAAATTTTTCATCATGATTTTTTTTATGGGAACAAGTTTTAAGTTTTCATGTCCAACAAACCAAGGCACTTTCCCTTTCACTGTGTGTGGGGAAGATTTACGCTCTTGTTTTTTCTCTGTCATATTTTTGGTCTTGGTCTTTAGTCAAATCCTGTCTTTCAGGCTGAGTTAAGCCATTTCATCAATCACAATCACCACCGTTGTATCCCCCGTTTTATCATGTTTTCTTTTGGAAGAGGTCACCCCAAAAACAAAACAGACTCCATCCATTTACTAGTTATGTTTTAACATTATATTCTCGAGTTTCCCAGTATTTTGTACAACGACCAGTCATGTGACTTCACAGCAAATCAATTGCAAAGAATTTAACATGTTTAAGCAAACACAAAAGTTTCTTTCATTAAAGTTGTATGTTTTAAGATTATTTCTATACTAGATTTTTATGTTTTTGTAACTTTTAAACCTGCAAATATACAAAAGTCCATCGGGTTTAACTAACTACCGGGGGCTGGGGAAAGTCTGAACCCTTAAATGGAAGGCCACGGACCTCGGACCACTGCTAATTTGAACCCCTGGAAAAGACAATAAAATTTCTGCTACGAACCTTCTGATGTACACCTTTTGCATTAGGAATTGGGGTACTGTGTCTGAACTTCTTGAACTGGATTCCTGTTGCAGTCTTAATGACAGAGTATGATGCATTGTGAGGGCCTGCAATAAAAAAGAAAATTGAAAAAAAAATCATATTTATGATTTGAGACATATTTTCATAAAAATTGCATATGTGAAGTTCTAATAGCAGTATAGGTTATTGCATGCAGCACTTCCTGAAATTGCATTGATTAATTTTGCATTTGGGTTAGTTAATTGGCAATCACAATAACATTAGGCAGTATCTTTTTAGATTGGAGGTATTTTAAAAGACTGCATAATTCATTCTAGTTAAGGTTCATCATAACAAATGGACAAAAATGGCCGTATTTACACCCCAAAATCTACTCTGAGTACAGGTTTACCTGTCCAGTTGGAAAAGTTTTAAGGCCTGGCATCCACTAGATATATAAAAGGTAAATGCATTTTGTGTTTCAGAAAGATATAATCTTTTTTGGATTTTGATGGGCATTTTTTTTCCTTTCTGCAGAAGGTGTAAAAATAAACAAACACCTGAATTGCTTTGATACTGTCCACTCAGTTAAACCCTTTAACTCACCTATAGTTGTGTAGATATCTATTGTCTGTCTATTGTCTATGTCAATCAAGGACAATCAATACTTTTTACCGGAGAGGGAGCATCTCATAAGAAAAACTTACCAGTTAGGCAGTATAGAAAAGCTAACTGGGAAAACATCAAACAAGATGTGAACAAACTCACACAAGAAATCAAAGGTCATTATCATAGTTCATCTACCGATGATCTATGGAATACATTCACAGAAAGGCTACTTCAATCAGTCAAGAAAAACATCCCCCAGAAGACAATCACAAACAAGAAAAAACTACCCTGGGTTGATAACACCTTAAAAATCATGATAAACAAAGTTAAAAGACTACATAAAAAGAGCAAAAACAGTCCAGATCAAATGAAAAAATACAAAAACTTAAAAAGAACATTACAAAAAGAAATGCGTAATGCCTACTGGAATTACATCGAAAAAATGATATTTGACCTACCAGTAGAAGAACCAGACGACAACATCAGAAAAAAACAATCTAAGAACTTGTTTACATACATCAAAAGTATGAAAAATGACAATACAGGCATTGCTGCACTTAGAAAAGATGGTAAACTAACTGATAACACATCTGACAAAACTAACATCCTAAATAGTCAATTTCAAAAAGCATTTTCCGAAGAAACAACAAGTGAATCTATTCCGGATAAAGGGAAATCAAACTATCCAAAAATGAACAACATCACCATTTCCAAGAAGGGTGTAATAAAATTACTGGACAAGATCAATCCTAATAAAGCAACTGGTCCAGATCAAATTTGCGGAACAGTACTTAAAGAACTTAGTAGTGAAATTTCAACTGCAATCACCTACATCTTTCAAAAATCACTTGACACAGGAAAAATCCCAAAAGATTGGAAACATGCAAATGTCTGTCCTGTTATTAAAAAAGGTGATAAACACAACGCAATAAACTATAGACCCATATCACTCACATGTATACTATGTAAGATCATGGAACACATTATAGCCAGTAGTATGATGGACCACCTAGAAAATAACAAAATCTTGTACGACCTTCAACACAGATTCCGAGCATCTAGATCATGTGAAACTCAACTAGTATCATTCATTCAAGAACTAGCAAAAAATAACAACAATAACATTCAAACTGATATAATTGTGATGGACTTTGCCAAAGCATTTGACAAAGTTCCTCACAAAAGACTTCTATACAAACTGAAATATTATGGCATAGAACACAACACCTTAAAATGGATAGAAGATTTCCTCACATCTCGCACACAAACAGTCATTATTGATGGTGTTCAGTCAGACAAAATTAACGTAACATCTGGTGTTCCCCAAGGAACAGTTTTGGGCCCTATCTGTTCCTTGTGTATATCAACGACTTTAATGAATACATCAAACACAGCACCCTAAGATTATTTGCAGATGACAGTATAATTTATAAAACAATACGAAACAAAGAAGACACACAAAAACTGCAAGAAGACCTTACATCAGCAGCAAAATGGGAGAAGGACTGGCTCATGTCATTCCATCCAGACAAGTGCTCAGTCCTCCAGATAACAACCAAGAAAAACCCATTAAAATTTGACTATACTCTCCACCAACATGTACTGCAAAAAGAAACATCCACAAAATATCTGGGCATTACTATACAAACTGACCTAAAATGGAACAAGCATGTAAACAACATCACAGCTGCAGCCACACAAAAGCTGAACTTCATTAAAAGAAATTTAAAGGTAAAGAAAAAGCATACATAGCACTTGTAAGACCAAAGCTAGAATACAGCAGCTGCGTCTGGGACCCACATACCAAATCACAAACACACCAACTTGAGATGGTCCAGCGCAGAGCAGCGAGGTACACATACAACAGATACCATAACACCAGCTCAGTCACTGAAATGCTGCAAACACTAAATTGGGCAACTCTTGAGAAAAGGCGAATAAGAACACGCATCATCTTCTTCTACAAAATCATACATCATCTTGTAGCCATATACCCGACAGATCTACTCACACAATCCGATACAAGAACACAACAACATTCACATATTTATTCTTTCAGACCCATACAAACCACTAAAGACTTATACAAGTACTCATTCTACCCAAGAACAATCTTACAATGGAACCTTCTCCCAGTAACTGCAGTTCAATGTACTACTCTTGAAAGTTTCCGAGAACAGATTCCAAGCAATGTATATAGTTTTAACCAAAATGTATAGTACAAAAACAGAAGAAAAAGAAATTAAAATTTTTATTTTTGTATATTATTCACTGTAAATAAAAATTAGATCCCACACACGCCCGGCATAGTAAAATCAGTGCCCGGCACGTTATCATCAGTATGTTGATGGAGTGCTGAATTATAAAGAAGATCTCAAAGTAATATATCCCAACTTAGATTATTTTTACATATTCTGCAGCAATGAAAAAAAATGCCCATCAAAATCCAAAAAAGATTTTATCTTCCTGAAGCTCAAAATAAATTTAACTTTTATATATCTAGTGGATGCCAGGCATTAAAACTTTTCCAACTGCACAGGTTAGTCTGTACTCAGAGTAGTTTTTGAGGTGGATATACAGCCATTTTTGTCCATTTGTTATGATGAACCTTAAAGAAGCAAATTTTTTTCTGTATTCCATCATGTCCATATCATGTAATTTGTTCAATAAAAAGATTCAATAGCTGCAGCAGTTATATACAATATATTTTTGAGATAAAAATATTGAAGGTTCCGATGATCCTATATTGTTTATTATTATATGACATCTATGCATAACATTAACTCAGTCATTGTATATTTTGTAAGTTCTCAAGAGGCAGGCATAATTATTTCAAAGAGACCCATGCGTATTATGATTTGATCAGGACAGCTACACTTCCGACTACAATTAAAAATTATTGTGTTCATATTAAACATGTTAAAATTGAAATATTATGTTAACTAGAAGTGACAAGTGACAAAACGCAACATGTGATCATAGTCATGATAATCATAGTGCTCTGAAACTTGCCCGACAAATCCTTGTCAAATGACAAAACGCAACATGTGTTCTGATTGTAGTTGTAGTGAAATGAGCCCTAATAGATTCAATAAAAGTTTTTGATATATATTAATAGTGTATTATTTTTTCAGTTTAATGATAATCTATTGATGACAACTAACTCACTTTAATACACAAACTCGCGCTCTTTGCAGTCTCAAGAAGTAAGGGGTAAAGAGCTAAAGGGGAGGGAAATGGGAATTACTGATCGACGAACCATACTGTGTCTGCCTCAGCTGCAGCTGTCGTGATATTTTTTTTAGCAATGGTGTACATAAGTTATTCATATAAAATAAAGAAAGACGTATCGTCGTGTAAATCTTATAGTGTTATATGTCCACTTTTAATCAAAATGGAGATAGGTTTATATGACAAATGCTACTGTCAATAATTACACTAAAATTGTCATGTTTGGCAACATTTTTGATTTTTTATAGCGGACTGTATATGGTTTTGGTTTTGCACATTATTAAAGCCCGTACATTGACCTATAGTTGCTAACTTCTGCGTCATTTTAGATTGATAGATAGTGGTCTCATTGGCAATCATTTTTTTCCTTATTTTTAGTTTAAAACTCATTTTTCATTCATATCATTAAGGAGTATATAGTTATATATATTCCGTCCATTCCGTTCCAGAAATCATAAAGTGGTATTACGGAGCTGTCAAAAAATATTTTTCAGGTGTTCACAAGACATTAGTAATTTGGAGTTTCTTATTAACAGCATATTTGTTGAATACGGAGGTAGACTGTTTCAACAAATTGTGGGCATTCCTATGGGAACAAAGTCAGTGTGCGCCTCTCCTTGCCGACCTCTTCCAATTTTCATCTGAGTTGCAGTTCCTTCAGACAGTTCTCAAAAACAAGAAGACGAAAGAAGCCAGATCATTTCAAGTAATTTCACATTCAGATATATTGCCGGATGATGTTCTTTCCACTGATTAATAATCCAAACTTTTCTAAGGATTGGGTTCCAATAATATACCCCCCCCCTTTTTCCTCCTTAGCAGCAATATACCAACTTCGCCTGCATATATGATATACATTTCCCAACTCATTCGGTATTCAAGAGCTTACAGCTGCTACTCAGACTTCATAAAACGTCACCAGTGTTTGAGCAGAAATTTGATGAACCAGGGTTATGTTAAAGAACGTCTCGTCCTTTTTATAAACTAGAGGCTCTGAAGAGCCTGTATCGCTCACCTGTATCTACTGTGGTTTTGGAAATCATGTAAAATAAGGTTAAAATCATAATAAATAGTATTAGATACCCTAATAATGATTGAGGCCAAGTTTGGTTTAATTCGGCCCAGTAGTTAAATTGAAAGCATGTCATCCCATTGTAGTCTTATAATAGTTACTGAAGACCCCTTATCATTATTTAAATTAGTTTTCAAGTTGTGACCATTTGAAATTGTTTTTTTTACAATTTTCCCATAGACTTCTATAGTAAACCCCTATGTTCTATTTTTAGACATGGCGGCCATGTTGGTTGGATGACACGATCATCGGATACATTTTTCAATCAAGATACCCTATTGAAAATTATGGCTTAGTTTAATTCTATTTGGCCCAGTAGATTAAGTGGAGAAGACTTTTGTAAAAGATTACAAAAATTTACGAAAAATTGTGAAAAATTGACAATTTTGGTCATGTTTGACTTATTTGAAGATCTTACTTTGCTGAACAATTTTGCTGTTTACAGTTTATCTCTATCTATTATAATATTCAAGATAATAGCCAAAAACTGCAAAAATTCTTTAAAACTACCAATTCAGGGGCAGCAACACAACAACAGGTTGTCTGATGCGTCTGAAAATTTCAGGGCAGATAAATCTTGACCTGATGAACATTTTTAATCAATGTCAGATTTGCTCTAAATGCTTAAGTTTCAGAGATATAAGCCAAAAACTGCATTTTACCCCCATGTTCTATTTTTAGCCATGGCGGCCATCTTGGTTGATGAGCGGGGTCATTGGATACATCTTTAAACTAGATACCCGAAGGATGACCTAGGCCAAGTTTGGTTTTATTTGGCCCAGTAGTTTCAGAGGAGAAGTTTTTTGTAAATGTTAACGGACGACGACGGACAACGGACGACGGACTCCAAGTGATGAGAAAAGCTCACTTGGCCCTTTTCGACCAGGTGAGCTAAAAAATTTCATCGGAAGATACCAAGACCTTGATGATAAATATTCCGTATCAACTTCACATGATGGTCTTTAAGTATAGAGTTTAGGTACTGACGTTGTTTGTCATCTTAATTACGTGTTACGGTGTTCTTTTTATTTGTCTTTGTAATATATTTAACCTTTATTGTTTATATAAAAAAAGATGTGGTATGATTGCCAATGAGACAACTCTTCACAAGAGACCAAATGACACAGAAACTAACAACTATAGGTCACTGTTAGTCCATTTATGGTAATATCCTTAAGGCGTGGCTCGGTATTTATACATCCCGCCATTGTGTTATTGTACTGTGGTCATTTTTTGTATTCTTGTCTTTCATTTTTGCTTATGTGCTTTGTCTATAGAGTGTCCATTTGCCATTTTTTGTTTCTCTTTGTTGACATAGTTGTTTGTTTTTATAGTAATTAAGATTATAAAACATAAGGAAATGCCTCTACCAAAAGAGAGGCGAAAGATACCAGAGGGACATTCAAACTCATAAGTCGAAAATAAACTGACAACGCCATGGCTAATAATGAAAAAGACCAACAGACAAACAATTATAGTACACAAAACACAACATAGAAAACTAAAAATTAAGCAACACGTACCCCAACAAAAACTGGGGGTGATCTCAGGTGCTCCGGAAGGGTAAGCAGATCCTGCTCTTCCAAGTCAGGAATGTGACAGTTGTTTTCCATTCGTTTGATGTGTTTGATTTGCCATTTGATAAAGAACTTTCCGTTTTGAATTTTTGTAGTTTGGTAGTTTTGTTATTTTACTTTGAAGATAATGATCACAAATATATTCAAGCTTTTCTTCTATATTTCATTAAGACACTAACACTTCTTGCAATAACAAATTCCAAAGATGGCTGCCTTGTTTTGCAATGTTCCCCTTAAATATTCATATACGATCAACTGTCCCTACTTCAAAATTAAAAATCAAAAATTAAAAATGTCCTGTTTGAATGGTTTTAGGGGGCTACCATTTGATTTTTATGGGGGGGGGGGGGGGGGGGCTAGGATGAAAAATTGTGTCCTGCATTTTTTTTTTTTAGTTGTAATCTCGGTCCTGCCTTTTTATTTTTCACTTTATTCGGTCCTGCCTTTTTTTTATTAGTTTATCCTGACTTTTTATACATAATTTTTCATCCTGCCTTTTTCTTGGCAAGTTGCTCATCCTACCCTTTTTTTTTTCTCAAAACTTCTGTCCTGCCTTTTTTTTTAAATTTCATCCTAGCCCCCCAATAAAAATCAAATGGTAGCTCCCTTACACTAGTCATTTTGGGGGCCCTTTATAGCTTGCTGTTCGGTGTGAGCCAAGGCTCCGTGTTGAAGGCCGTACTTTGACCTATAATGGTTTACTTTTACAAATTGTGACTTGGATGGAGAGTTGTCTCGTTGGCACTCATACCACATCTTCTTATATCTATCTATTATTTAGCTATTCAAATAACTTTGATGGATAAGGCGGGTCATAAATTTTAGATTGCTGCAAAATGCTTTATACGAAGTTTATCAACTGGACTGTCAGAAAAAAAAGTGAGCAATTTTAAAGAAATGCGATAACAATATTAAATTTTTTTACCTTCATTTCCATGTTCTGTTGTTTGATAAGCCCATTCACTTGCAACATCACTATTCTGAAACCATAAAAAAAAACCAAGTCATATCTATTTTCAAATTGATCGCGTCTATTTTGACATAACAACGTAAACCATTTCAATGTAATGAAGTCAAAAATTAGCTTTACCTCTCGATCAATTTGACTTATTACGGCCGCTGCCTATACCCGTTACGACGCAAAAACAAAATTCCGAAAAGTAAATGTTTAAGAGAGGCGACAGATACCAAAGGTTAAATCAAACTCATAAGTCGGACTAAAGGACAAACACCAGCATACAAAACACATCATAGAAACTAAATACTGAGCAACACGAACCCCACCAAAGAGGGAACTCTACGACGCCATTCTAAGTGTAATTCCAGTTACACATGAACTCATACAAAACAGATTGAAAACCAGGTGCGTCGATTAGAAAAGCATCTCCAAGGTCATATATCTAACAATATGTTTAAAAACCAGGGAACATGAGAAAACAGATGATAAAAATAATAATTTCCCCATTCATATGCACTCCTACTGGCCATGGTGTAGCTGGTTACATTAACACTGTAAATAAAAAAAATCTCTATGAAATCTGTTGGACGAAGAGGTAAAATAGCATGACCCTAAACCCATTAACTGATAACAAAACTTAAAGATACTCATGCATCAAATGGAAGACCTGTTCGTTGACCTATAGTTGCTAACCTTCTGCGTCATTTGGTCGCTGATGGAGAGTGGTCTCATTGGCAATCATGCTCATATTCTTATTTTTATATTATATACCGAACAGCTCTGACCAGAAAATAAACAAACCGTCAAAATGAAGACGTTGAAACTCTTTCTGAATAGGTTAATGTTGTGAGATCGTTGATACAAATCAGAATTATATACTAGATACTTAATTGGATTTTATTGTCTGCCAAGAACTCCACATAACATTTTTCTAAATCAATAATTTCTATTTTGTCAGCCGTAAAACGGGGTTTCAAGGTTACCTTGAAAATACTTAATAGGCTATCTAGTCTTAGATGCATGATTTTTTTTTATTAGTTGTTATTGGCTTTGAACTTGCTGTCAATAACTGCGAGTACTCTCAGATCTGTACTTAGTGTCTTTTTTGTTGTTGGGATGTACAAGTACCCGGCCACGTCCACTCTGTGTTTTTGTATTTCTATTTGTGTCTTTCTGATGAGTTAAGCCTTTTTCAACTGATTTTTATAGTTCGTTCTTATGTTGTACCGTTACACCACTGTCCCAGGTTAGGGGGAGAGTTAGGATCCCACATACTTGTTTAATGCTTCCCTTAGTTTATTTATTTTGTTTTTACACTGTATCATAGATCATATTTATTTGTACAGTGTATGTTCACTGGTGTTAATATGTCTTTTGATTGAGTTAAGCCATTTCAATTGATATTTTATAGTGTGTTTTTCTATGTTGTGATGTTACACTATTGTTTCAGATTAGGGTGAAGGTTTGGTACCATTAAAACGTTTAAACCCGCAGCAATTGTTTGCACCTGTCCTAAGTCAGGAATCTGATGTTCGGTAGTTGTCGTTTGTTGATGTGGTTCATAAGTGTTTCTCGTTTCTCGTTTTTTATATAGATTAGACCGTTGGTTTTCCCGTTTGAATGGTTTTACACTAGTAATTTTTGGTGCCCTTTATAGCTTGCTGTTCGGTGTGAGCCAAGGCTCCGTGTTGAAGACCGTACTTTGACCTATAATGGTTTACTTTTATAAATTTTGACTTAGATGGAGAGTTGTCTCATTTGCACTCATACCACGTCTTCTTATATCTATTAACCCCGCCACATTCTGTATGTAAATGCCTGTCCCAAGTCAGGAGCCATTAATTCAGCGGTTGTCATTTGTTGCTATGCTACATATTTGTTTTTCGTTCATTTTTTGTACATAAAATAGGCCGTTAGTTTTCTCGTTTGAATTGTTTTACATTTGTGATTTCGGGGCCTTTCATAGCTGACTATGCGGTATGGGTTTTGCTCTTTGTTAAAGGCCGTACGGTGATTTATAGTTGCTAATTTCTGTGTCATTTGGTCTCTTGTGAAGAGTTGTCTCATTGGCAATCATACAACATCTTCTTTTTTATATGTGGAAAAGATGTGAATACCTTAATTTTTCAAATACGAGTTAGAGTAAATACAATCGAATTCTCTCTCTAATCGTTGAATAGTACAAACACATTTGGTTTCTACCCTTTATACTAGTATTACTAATTTTAAACTTAATGATAGATTGAAAGAAATAGTAAAACTTTGTTTGATAGAAAAGACAAACCAAATGAGATACAACTATTTTGTTTCATGTTTTAGGAAGGGACACTAATACTTAGTAAAAAAACAACTCTGAATTAACAAAACAGTTCTTAGACCTGACATCGTGCTAAGGTTGATACTTATTTCCTTTTTAATTTACAACCATATTAATTACGTTTGGTGGAAGCGTTTTATTTAATAAACAGTCAAAATTCCCAATTTATTTTGTTTTTCTTTGTTGACATATTTATTTTTTATAGTGATTAAGATTATAACACAATGTTGCTAATCCTATTTTTGACATTTTTACCTATTATGTCTGCTTGTTTTGTTCACAAATTGTTGTCAATATAATGGAATTTTATGCAACTGTCATACAAGTGAGAGGTTTAGCAAGCTATTAATTCAGGTTTAGTCTACCATTTTCTACATAAAGAAATGCCTGTACCAAGTCAGGAATATGACAGTTTTTTTTCCATTCGTTTGAGCTTTTGATGTTGCCAATTGTTAAGGGACTTTCCGTTTTGAATTCTTCTTTGAGTTCGGTATTTTTGTTGTTTTACTTTTTATTCTAGTTGCAGTGGAAAAAGGTACTGCTTACTCATCAAAGAACGAGAAATTAATTTCACTTGTTTTGGTGTGGTTCATGTTGCTCAATTTTAAGTTTGTATTCGAATTATTTTATTGTTTTATTATTTGACGTTTTTCATTTTGTCTCTTTTCGTCAAAAAGGGATTGTGATTGATCTCGATCTTTGTACATATTTCTTCAACATTTTTTACAATAATCAGAATATAGAATGATGAGTAGTTTTTAAAAGTACAGTTGAAATTAATCCTTTTTTCATAGATCATAGCTCTAAGCTATAAATCAATATCAATTTAAAAAAGATAGGAAAATATTTCTGCAATATATTCATTCATATTCATTTTGGCATATTCATCAGATATCTTCTGACCCATTTGTCAATGATAGCTAGGACACTGTAAGTATAACGTGTTTTAGAATATGTTGGCATAGGTCGAATGTTATGCAAACCGATTACAAACGATAAGAGTTCTAAACAAAGTGAACAAAGGAGCTTATTTATTTACAACCAGTTTAAACTTAGTGCAAATGAAGGTAATTTTGTATAAGTAGATGATCTCTTCTTGAAATAGAGACGGAAGATACCAAAGGGACATTGAACTCACACGTAGAAGAGAAACTTGGAAAGATTTGCAAAACCCAGAAAACGACGAAAAACAAATACAACATATAAAACCAAAGACAAAAAAACACGAACTCTACCAAAAAAAAACGAGGATGACATTAGGTGCTCCGAAAGGTTAGGTCTTATTCGGTGATATAACAAACTAGGAAAAAAGTACGGAATTTCCATAAAGGTTAACCAACTCGTGTTGTTGTTCGAAAAACTTCCGGAGAGATGGCTTCATCTTTACCTGTAGAACCCTTTGTTCTATAGCTTCCTTGAAAGCAGCAACCCTTTATCATGGAAATCGCGATACGTAAAGCAAGCCCAGATACAACTGAAAGCTACATACTGGAATGTTGCTACATAGAAATTGGAAGTTTGCAATTTTAAATCTGAAATCATCCCTTTTCTCGAAAAGTTTTGATCACAGCCGTGCCGGGGCACTGAGGTCTATATATGAGACAGAATTGTTTGTATCTGTGGTATCCTATGTTTTAAGTTCGAGGGGATGGATGCATCCAACATAGTTACCAAAATAGTGAGTTGATATCATCTATGTAAAGGGATGCTGTTAAGGAACAATGCTTTTCCTTCTTCTTCAGAAGCTGTGCCTCATATGAATATTTGCACAACTCGACAAAGAGAGGATCACAGTAGGTTCCAATAAAAGCCGATACTTTATTTTAAAACGCGTCATCCAAACGTAAAAAATAAGTGTCAATACATAAATCAAGCATGTCGATGATTTTTATTTCAGAAAAAAAATTGTAAGCATCAGATTTTTTTTTTTATTGTTTTATACAAAGTATGATTAATTCCTTCCTAAATCACGACATTTGTATCTACGTTGGCCATTCATTTTTTTAAGAAACACAGTTTGACTTATCCTTTTAATCTTATTATATAATAATAAATTTAGATAATACGGGAATAATAGTATAAAGGATAGAGAAGTAAAACATATTTTTATTATTGCAAGACGAAGGAGACTTATATTGTATATACTCTTACAGATTGTTAGAATTGTTTTGTATCCAAATCTATTTCCTCCCCTAGAAAAGGTTTTTTTCATAGTAACTCTGAAGCCCGGGTCCACCTGTTAAAACATTAATGTTAATACTTTGAAATTAGGTTTCGTGGATCACTTGACAGACCCAACACTAAAACGTTGTTTCAAAGGACATTTATATAATTTTGTTATCCACTACAGAGTAGGAAGATCCAGTTGTTCATCTATAGTTGAAATTCCAAAAGGAAAATTGAACCGACCTATATTTGTGCAGGATTTTCTCTTTTGTTCCTGTCATGGGTGTATATGTTGAGTTTCCAAGTGAATGGTCGATACCTTACTCCTTTATCAAACAGTTTCTGTAATGTGATTTTTGTGATGACATGTATGTAAACTTATTGTTTATAAAATGTTGAATTATTAAAAAAACAAAGGGTTGTCTACCTCCAGGAATATATTTGCTTAGCCGTATTTGACACAACTTTCCGGAATTTTTGGTTGTTACTGATTTTCAACTTTGTTTTTGATCTGGCCTTCTAACTGTTTTCATTCGACTGCCACTGATGTGTCTCCTGTAGACAAAACGCGTGTACCAAATTTATAAGCCTGGTATTTTTGATGCGTTTTTACACACACATATGCAATGTTGTTCGGGCTTTATCTGCGTGGATAACATCAGTCGCGGGAACAAAAAAAAAGCAAAGATTAGTGAGCACTCATACAATGTAAGTCCTTTTTTTGTACAATAGTATACAAGTGTCTACCTTTTCAGCCTTGAAGGAATCATTCCTCATTTTAGAATTGACGCAAATTGGACGGATGATTAGTCATACATTTTTACAGGAAAAACTGAATTGGGATTAATTCCTATTATCGTTTTCCAATTTTTCATTACTGTACAAAGGAATGTACAAGACGAAGGTTCAACAATGAAAATGACACGATTTTCTGAATTTACCTTCATCAGGAACGCGTAAACCAAAAGTCGTGTACAGAATCATGACGACGTTGATTGTGTTTAACCTTATACCTACCGAATATCTTATACATTTATGAATATATATATATATATACATGTATATAAGCGCAAAGGTCAATTCTGCGTGAGGGAGTAGTAACCTTAGTTGCTTATAAAATAAAAAAAAATTATAAAAAAAAGTTTATCTAACCTTTATTTATTTGAACTTTGTTTGAACTTTTGCATATAAATAAATTGTTTGCTTTTTAAAGCCTCTCTAGAAAAGCCAGTGTCTAATGAAAGCTTACTAACAAATATATGTTTTGACTCACCGAATTTTGTAGTTTTGAGGAAAACAGTGAAGCAAAGCCTTTTTTAGCTATCAGTACATCATGGTGCTCATCAAGATCATGGAATACGCGGAGTATCTCTCCTGATCGTTTGATTTCAAAGGAAAACCTGCGAGAGTAAAAACGCCTGATACATAGAAACCATCGCTATTGCAAGAAGGGCGGCATTATTTCATATCAGCAGGTTCTGTATGCGTGCTTGAGTTCAGTAATGCTTAGCAATTGTTTATTATTGATGTACGTGTATGTGTATGTTTTTTTAACGTTTATACCGATATAATAGAGTTGAGTGCTTTTTTATACTGATATTTTGAGATGTACCCTTTGTTATTCCACTGATTGAGTGATAAAATGATGGATTGAGATCTTTACAAAAAGTAGTTAAAACACGTTCATGTGCCTTCCATTATTTCTAATTCAGTGACGACACTTTAATTTATCTACATTTTCATTTTCATCGTTAAATCAAAGTACTGAAATTCTGAACATCGGATGATCGCAAGTTCTGGTGGATGGTCACAAGCACTTGTCTCAGAAAAAAAAATCACATCTCTATACCTGAAAGTTAGGTTAAGGAACATAGATACATTTTTTTCTGAGACAAGTTCCTGTGTGGATGATGAATAAATGACAAGGAATTCAACCTCACCGTTATAACTATTATATTGTAGTGATATAATCATTTGTTATCAGTATACTCTGGTTTGTTGTTATATATTATATTAATATTTGTATAACAGTTATATATAATTTTCATCCATTTGTATATCATTCTATTCCACTATTCTAATGATAGTGCAGTGCAAGTGCATGGTGGACACTCGATCTTCTGTAACAATTCGTGTTTCTAATAGATTGGATTTGAGTAGGCCTTCATATTTTCCCGCGTTTGTTACAAAACGTTCTTGAGATATTCTTCCGCATGCGTTAACACAAAGGAGTAGGCCCGGTAAGACCTCTTTTTGGCCCCAAAATATAGCATTTCAAAAAATTGTTGAAAATGTAAACTTTTGGCTATCTATTGGAAAGAAGAATACTTGTGTTACATAAAGATAGGCTGTTTTTGACATTACACTGCACATGCATCAGGTACTACTATTATTATTTCATGCAAAAATAATAAAATCATCACTATCTTAACATTTGTGCTAATTTTAGACAGTTTTTGTCTAAAATGGAAGTGGCTGCACTTGTGTTCACTCTTAATATTTAAATATATGTTGTATTTGATGATGATACATAACATATATAAAGGTTGAGACTGAACACGAATGCGGCCACTTCCATTTTAGACCAAAAAACATCTGAAAAGTGACGTTTTGTGGCATATTTGATACAATTTCATATTTAAGCTTGAATTTAGACGTCTTTAATGACCAAATCAGTTCAAATCCAAAATATTAACTAATTGAATCGACTGAAGAAGACACTTAAGTGTTTAAAAAATGTAAAAAAATCTTTCATCAGATGTATTTAAAATTTTAGGCCAAAATAAGCCCTTACCGGACCTTCTCCTTTTCGGTATTCTTGATTTGTTATATTGATATATATATATTTCTCACGAGCAGAAATTTTCATTTATCTAACGTCACGGTACCCAAATTGCACCGAGTACCCAAATTGCACCTATTCAACAAAAATAGCTGCGGAAATCTTACAAGTTTTCTTTGAGACTAAACAATTTGTATTTTTATGATTTGACATTATACACGTCTTTCAACATAGGTAAATATATTTAAATATACACAAAACGTTCACAGTATATATCAACAGATGAAGCATTCCATGGAAAAAGTAAATCTACAAAAACGTCGCCATGCAACGTTCTCAAAATGTCATCTTTTAAAAAATAGCAAATTAAACATGTTACAAGCATCTATTTCTTAAAAAATGAATAGAAAGCATGGAATAATGTCCATTTTTCAAAAAATATTTGAAGAAATAAAACAAAACATCTGTTATTCGATTTTTAAGGATGTGAATTTAAACATGGATGCAATTTGGGTACTCCTCATTACAGAATCATGGATCGTTTGGAGGTCGGTTCAAACCCATTTTTCTATGATTCAATATGGATTCAAATTAAATTAGTGTAACTATATAGTAAATAAGGATACGTCTACAAAATAAACACAGAATGGAAACTTTTGTCTGGATCATAAAAAAACGTAGGTAAACAAACTGTTAAAATAGGTGCAATTTGGGTACCCTCACGTTATGTTCATATCATTTATCTATGTTCTTAAAAATTATTTTCATGAATATTTATTGATGACGTTAATATATAACAAGCGATAAGGAATGTTATTTTGCACTCGATAATATCCGCGTAATTATACGAAATACATTCGGTTATCAGTCAAAAACGCAAGTCACGATGGTAGAAATGTCTGCGGCAACATAACACTGGAATGTCCTCACGGTCATACGCTGTAAAAATGAATACAACACGTTAAATAATTTCATGCGTCCGAAGCGCTTTTCTGGATTTACCTTCATCAGGAACGCTCAAAAGTCGAACATAAATATAGCATTTAAAATCTTACCAATTTGTGAAATCTAAATTGTCACTTCCAGCACCTGTCAATAAAACAAAAGTGTTTACTTCACTCGTCACAGGAAAATTTGGTTGCTTTTAATGACAACGAAAGCTAAAAAGCTACTTGGAATAGTTGGGGTTTTTTTTAATTTATTTGTGAAATTATCTGTAGAATGATACTTTATTAAACACGACCTAATGTTTGTTTATCCTGTATTATTTTCTCAGTTTTACATGTTATTTGCAATAGTTCAAACAGTGAAGTCAATTGTTTCGTATCTGGCCATTGAGTTGTATTTAATTATATATGAAAAGGATACACAAAAGTTTAATCTCAGCCCTATAATGTAAAGCAATGTTAGGATACGTTTGGAAGCATATCTACATTGTAGGACTTAAACTCATACTTCGAATTTCGATTTGATTTGTAATTATTTATGAATTCAATTACCTTTTATTAATTCGTTATTGTTTATTTGTGGAATTCGCTAAATGGAAGAACAAACCTGTAATAACGAGTCATTTAGTGGACATATAAGTTAAGAATTCAAAAACATTTACCGGAAGAAATTCTAATGGACAATATCTGCATTATTTTATAGTGTGAATTGTATATTTCTTAAATGTATACATTTCTTTTAGAAGTAAATCGGAAATAATAAAAACTCGATGAGGATAAATCAGAATTACAAGACCAGCTATATACTCAATGTATACCCACCCTTTTCTTTGTGTGCCTCTGAAACAACAAAAAACGAATTGACCTTCAGTAAGATTTCTTGAACCTCTTCTGTAACATTAATGGTCGTGAAACTTATCTGTAAAAAATAGCAAATTTTGTATGCCTTCATACACAACATATACATGCACTGAGACTATTTTGTTCTCTGTTTGTACAAGAATGGTTCAGTTTGTTTTCTCTGTGCATTTTTTAAATACCCATGGTAAACTCATGTATAACAGTTGAGGCTTACCTTTCCGACGCACCCAGTTCCATCTTTTGCAGTTAATGCAATTCCTGCATTTTTTTACTTTCTTTTGTAATTTCTTAATAGATTTGTGAAAGTTGAACATAGATAAACTACTGTTTTCCTCAGATTTATATTACGTCTTGTTTCAAATATGATGAAATTTGAAATATTCCTATATGCAATTGGATCGGTTTTTGGTTTCGAATAAACTTTAATGTCAAATGTTAGATGATAATAATAATAACATTAATAATAAATGGTGACAATTGAATATTGCTAAGATTTGTAATTGACACTTTTTCCTACTGTTTGAAACCTTCACAATTGGGGGTTGTCATTACTGTATATTTTTTTTTATTATGTAAGACCTTTTTTTATTCTTTATCTTTTTTCGATTTATTTCAGCTCCCCTGTTTTCGCTTTTCTTCTTTTTTCACATAATTCTCTAAATTATTTTAACACAAAAATTTTCTCTTTTCTTTAACACCCTCCCCCCCCCCCCCCCCCACCCTAATTTTTCAGTCTTCAATGTTGTTAGACAACCCTATAGTAGTACAGCAATGTCACATTTTAAATTGCATTAGGTTTCATCAAATTTCCAATGACAGTTATTCATTTAGTGCAACAGATACACGATGAAATTGTAATGCCTCTTTGGAAAAAAAGATTTGATCTCCTGGTTGTCGTTACTTTATTGATGTGTGAAAAAAAAACAATAACAAAAATGAAAAACTCAACTTCATTGAGTAAAGACAATTTATGGTATACAAATTTATCAACAAAATAAGATAATTTTACTTCTCATAATTTTATCAATATATTAACTTCGATATAAGATCGAGTTATATGGTAGTTTAAGTTTTACTGCACTCAATACATGGTGTCTTCCTCCTATTCCCACTTTTTAAAAATCACTATTCCTTCTATTTCCACATGCAAATAACAATAGATGTTTTGATAAATAATTTGTTTTTATAACAATCAAGGTAAATTAAAAATTCACCTAATATTTACCTGTCTTTTTTAAAAGAAAACATATTTCTTACACTGTTTAAGTATAATATTATTTTTAAAAATATAATAATTTAATACACTGTTTATTTGTAAATAATTTTTCTTTTTCAAAGAATTACTTAAAAATAAAGAATAAGTCAGATAAATAGAAGTTAGATTAAAAAATCATTGAATTTGTAAACTTAAAAAATTGTCATCCGAACAAATAAATTGATGATAGATATTATAACAAACTTTCCCATCTTGCAAGATTTCCATGTACAACAAACGCAAGACGAACCTACCAGTTTTACCAAAAACTGTTGATGAAATCAACATAGATTGTATTTGGGCACGTACTACCAAAGGTGACCCATTCCGAGCCTATTCTTCCAACTTTACACATTTTACGCAATGGTTGACGGCGCAATGTATCCACTGGTACACAGTTTTCTTCCAGCCAAGAGCGAACTAGTGTACACAAGGTTCCTGACTTTACTCAAAGATGTATGCCACCAACACCAACTACAACTTCAGCCTACCACTATCTTCCTGGACTATGAAGTCGCCATCCGAAATGCAGCCTATTCTGTATTTCCTGGCATCAACACAAAAGGCTGTTTTCCCCACTACTCACAATGCATATGGAGAAAACACAAGAAACAGGGATTCAGGTTCCATACAAGGAAGACAACAACATTCATCAACTAGTACGCCGTACCGCTGTCCTTCCACTTCTACCTACTGCTGAGGTCGAAGATGTGTGGTTTAATTCCCTAATCGACATAGATCAGATTGATACTAACATCAACTACAAGCCCTTTACAGACTATGTAACAACATACTGGGTCGAATAGAACAGTCACCTTTGGGACTATTACACAACACAGGGACCGAGGATTACACATCATTTAGAGGGATGGCACAGCAAGCTGAAGAAACATGTCCAGCATCCATATCCAAACATCTTTAAACTCATAAAACTACTGAAACATGCGGAAGCTTTCAACACCCTGACCATGATCCAGTATGCAGCCGGTGGGAAGAGAGTAGCCCAAAAACGAAAGGATGTCGAAATCAACAACAGATAAGAAGAGCTTAAGGTTAGACACCGCAACCAGGAAATCACAACAGTACAGTTTGGTGATGCAGCCTCACACCTTCTTCACGTTGAACAGATTAATAAACTTTAATAGACTTATATACAGTGTGTGCTACAATGTGTGATTTGTTTTAGTGCTGTTAATTTGTATTGTTTGTTTCATATTATAATGCTTGCTTGAATCTACTGTTAAATTTGTGGTATAAAAGAAATAAAATAATTTACTTATATTTGTTTCCATTTCTTTCATATTTATTTTAATTAAAAACACAGAATTCATACACATACAAAAATAACCTATTACCTATCCAAAAAAACACTTGGTCAATTAAAAGTTGATTAAACAATGTTTATACAGAATAATCCTTTGTTTGCACAAGTTTCCCCCTATTCCCACATGAAATTTTAACTTTTCTTACCAGATTTATAAAAAGTGGGAATAGGAGGAATGAACTCAATACATAATGTAAATTAAGGAAATTATTGTGACGCAAATAAAAATACAGTACCTTAGCATCAGTTCTGAAGTTCCCAAGGTCATGTATGGTAGAATTAGAGGTGTATTTATACCAGTATTCGTAGTTATTCTGGAATTGTATGTATTTACTTGTCGAAATTCCAAATACACAAAAAATAAGAACTACGTAACAGTACATCTTTTTCATATTTCAACGAAATTTAGTTCTTCATCTCAAACATCCTGATTTCGATAACTGAGTTATGAAAAAGGCAAATACTCAGCGACTATTAATTTTAACCTTAAAAAATATTCTACTAAGCATTCATATAATCACGCTTATGAAAATTGAATGCTTCACTCGTACCAAAAGAGTCATTGAACCTAGACATTTAACACTCATTTCTTATATTCAATACGTATAGATAACGAAATAGGAAAAATAAATATAATAGCCTGGATATTAACCAAATTGTCTATAACTTTAAATGCGCAGAACATTTCCAGTATATATAACATTGAAAATTTTCAAAGCAGCACATAAGGATTGATTGAAACAAAGAAGTTTAGATATACAACTGTATATCACAAATTACAAATAGAAAAAAAACAATAAAAGGGAACCAGATAATAGCGTGGTCAAAAGTAAACAAAGAATCAAAACAACCAACAATGACAAAACATAGGAAATATGCTTAAAAATAGGGAACCCCTTTACAAATATTCGGAATGCAATTATTTGTTCTGGAAAATATCATGTTTTCCTGCTTTATATATGAACTCCGTCAATTAATGTATCTACTAAATATATTCGAAAATCGAGCAAAGAATATCCTCCTTCACTTGCGATAGCTTTCGAGTGTGGTAAATTTTGAAAATGTTAAAAAAAAATGTTCACAAGCATTTTTAACAACTCTTAAAAGTGTGACTACGAAATTCTCACCTAAACCCTTATAGCGACCATAACATTTTAAATATGTACTAAGGATTATCTACCCCAGAAAAAGACTACATTATATGGCAAGCCGTTCTCGTCAAAACTATGTTTAAACCATTTTTCGACACACTGAGAATTAATAAAAAATCACACTGAAATTAAAAAACCTAAAACACACACTGAGAATTAAAAATTAAACACTGAGATTTCATAAAGACGCACTGAGATTACAACAAATGAAAAACACACACACTGAGAATTTAAAATTACACACTGGATTTCAAAAAGACACACTGAGATGAAATAAACTGAAAAACACAAACTAAGAATTTGAAATTACACACTGAGAATTTAAAATTACACACTGAGATTTGTGCGCACTTTTTATTCGCACATATCTTTTTAGAGTACTTAATCTGAATCTATTACAAGTTTAAAACAACTAGGGGACAGAACTCGATACACTGTTAGTAATATTAATCTAAAATTATGTGTGTATTTATGAAATCTCAGTGTGTAATTGACAATTCTCAGTGTGTGTTTTTCAATTTATTTCATCTCAGTGTGTCTTTTTAAAATCTCAGTGTATAATTTTAAATTCTCAGAGTGTGTTTTTCATTTTTTTAAATCTCAGTGTGTAATTTTAAAATCTCAGTGTGTAATTTCGATTTCTCAGTGTGATATTTTCGGTTTTTAAATCTCAGTGTGGTTTTTTTAATTCTCAATGTGTAATTTTTTCGAAAAAAAGGTTTAAACATAGTTTTGACGAGAACGGCTTGCCATAACCGTAGCTGCATTTGGCAAAAACTTTCGACATTTTGTGTCCTCAGTGCTCTTCAACTTCGTAGTTGATTTGATATTTTTTTTAACTTTTTTATTCGAGCGTCTTTTGTAGACGACACGCACGTCTGGCTCACAAAACTTTAAGCCTGGTATCTATGATGAGTTTATTGTTAGGATCGCTTGTTTGAAATTGGTCAATAGCAATCACCATTAAAATTTAGACGGCACAGTAAACCCCTAAAAGTCATATCAATTCGGAAATTCTTTACTGCTCAAATGAATGACAAATTCACAAAAGAAATGTCAAATTCATCCCTCGATCTCTGTTTAGAGCAATTTCAAGGGGACATACTTTTTTAGGCGTTATAAATTGCAAGCTCAATGATATTGATATTATAATTAGATGACATATTGTACATCTATTAGGGAATGACAGAAGAATAACAAGGCGTGAGAAACCGCTTTAGAAAGAACGGATTGAACGACCTCATACAAATCAATTTGAATAAAGCAAACTGATGTACATTACTACGGGAATAATGTTGTTCATACAGATTTTAGCTTTGAACGCAGGCGTTTCATAAGGTTATTGCTTATTAGAAAAATATTATTATGCTTAATTTAAGTTTAGACATCGAGCCATACATTTTTAATAGTATATTTTATAAGCAGATCTTTTTTCGTCTTAACAAATGCATTATTGCATTTATTTTGAAACCAAACTTTAAACCAAATATTGAAATTGGACTGATTATGTCACATTCAAAAATCATTTAAACAATTGTTCAACCTTTAAGAGTTTTTACATTCGTACTTCCCTGTCTATGCTCAGTGAAACGAAATGAAAAACGTCATGTACAGATCGTGAACAAAAGCTTGGACTGATATGGATATCATATAAAGTTTTAAGTACAATTTGTTAACTCTTGATCATGATATGTTATTTTACAATTATAATAAGGAAAGAGAATTGAACAGTTAACTTTTCATATGTAAGGTTGATAGGTCAACACTCTTTTGTTTTCCATTTAAGCTCTACAGGCTTTGAACCAAATATTAATTCATGACGAAACAATGATAAATAAAACCAATTATTTTAGCTGAAAACGACATTGATATTTAATAAAATACACTATGAAAAAAACGATTTCCAAATGCCTTCTCAGATTTTTTTCAAATAACAATTAATTTTTATTCTGTAATTGTCTGTTTCATTGAAGATTTCTTCCTCTATTAATTTCGTCCCGGCAATTTTTCATTTTTCGGAATTGATAAATACAAAATAATCTTTCAGCACTTGTCTGATTTTAACATAATCACCAAGAATTTTAGCGGGCGCAATATGATTGTCCGCACTAAGTAATAAAAGATATGTTACACTTGCATGTAAACTTACATTGCATATGCGGAAATTTTACGTTTGTGTACATTATTTATTTTTATTTTACAAATCTAGATAAGATATTGGTGATTCAATTAAAATTATACACCTTCATGTGATGAGCTGAAAAATATAATACATAAATCTCAAAACACAGAAAGAAAAGAAAAAAAAGGTGAAGGAAGTCAACTTACGAGCGCTGTGATTGGATGTAAGGGTATACTATATTTTGTTTTTATTTATTTATGAATAACTTTTGAAACACATTGAAATATTTTCTTGAGAATTATTCGAAAATATAAAAATAAGAAGAAGTGGTATGATTGGCAATGAGACAACTCCGTCCACAAGAGACCAAACGACACAGAAATTAACAACTATAGGTCATCGTACGGCCTTCAACAATGAGTAAAACCCATACCGCATAGTCAGCTATAAAAGGCCCCGAAATAACAAATGTAAAACAATTCAAACGAGAAAACTAACGGCTTGATTTATGTACAAAATAAATGAACGAACGAAAAACAAATATGATATAAGGCATCCAAATTTTCATAAATTTGACGTAAAATGACGATGGGTATGGATACCATATAAACCAATTCCGTTCGAAGATGGTCATGCTACCATTCGACTTCAATTTCTAAAACAGAATATTTAAGTATATATATCACACATAGCTGTTTTGTCCAGGTTTTTATTATAAAAAGTGGTAAATTTAGAAAATGTTAGTATTGTCGCCTATGGAAGAATAAATACTACCGTTTTCCCTATAGAGTGAGCAACACAAACGACTTTGTCACTAAACCGAGGCAAATCCTGGGAAACTTTAACTCTTCGGAAAATAAACAGTTATTGTCCTCACTAATGGCAACCGTCGTGTTTTACAGTCAACTAAAGATTAATAGTAATTCTTTGCTAAAACGCCTTAATAGTAGAATTTAAACTTCAATTCGTAGTTTGACTTTAAACAGTTTTACAAATTTTGATCTATTTGCTGTGCTTTAGGGAAAATATTTATAAACATGTCATAGATGAGCTACCGCAGAACAGCAAAAAGTCATTCTTAGTATTTTTCACCTAAGCTTTCATATTCAGATTTGAGCATATGGAACCGTTTACCTAACACCAATAGAAAGAATTAGGCAGACGATACAAAAAAGTTAATAAAAATCATGTCGACGAAATAAAAACAAAATACCATAGTGAAAAGAAAAACAACGAAGAAACAAACAAAATTGTACATAATACTTAACAAGAAAAAAATACCTCGGGTGCTCCTGGCATCCGTAAAAGTCTCGAAGGGATGTTACTTGACCGTTTAGAACTCTTGGTCAACTGCCTACTTGTAAGCAGCTATACGTTATCAAGGAAAACATAATAGGAAACGACAGTCTATTGTACATCATATAAGGTGAAAGATATATACTACATATACAGGCACTGAAGTAATTGTGTTCATAGAAATTGTTAAATGAAGATTTTTTTCTATAATACTGACCATCATAGAAACAATGGAATGGTCAGGCTGATAAAAGTGTTTATAGAAAAATTTAGTTGTTACCAGGATAATTAACATTAGACCTGTGAGCATTCGTTCTTTTGTTTAGTCTTTGTCTGTCTCACAGAAATATGTCAGTTCACAATAAGAACATTCCATATTGTTCACAATATTAGAGGCAATACAATGGAGACCCACACGACTTTGTGTTTTGTGTAACATTTGGTGGTCAAGTTACTTTAAAAATAGGCATCAGTAATATGAATTCCACAGATTTTACAGTTTTTACCGACTACATTTAGATTTTTAAAAAATGTTGCAAGTTGTCATTGAAATCTAATATATATCTGAAAATAATTTAATCTTTATTGTTTTTCAGTACAACAAAGAATGTAAAGACTCAACAAAGGTTGTATTCCTAACATCTTTAAAGATGATCTTAGGGACACCTATGATCTTTTCTAGGATTATCTTACAAAATGTCACGTATACGACCTATGTTAAGTCTTTAGATTCCTCATTTAAAATTATCATAGAGACGCCAATATTCGTATCCTCTAGTGTTGGCTGTGGTCATCACTTGGTCTTCTCCTGACCGGCAATAAAACCTTGCTAAAGTGGGGCGTTCGTTTGGCTGTGTGGAATGTATAAATTCATTCGCAACAACATCCGGCCAGAATTAGGACTTTAAATCCGATGCCTCGTATAGAAAGAGGCACG